GAAATATATGTGAAATTTAGATTTTTCTAAATAATCTTACAACTGTTGAGGCGATTGGAGTTATTTTTAAATTGTTGAGGTGGTTGGCGTTCTCCAAATTTTCTCCTTTCTTTTTATTTCCCCAAACAAGGAAGAGTAAAATAAAAGATAGTGGTGTTTCACCATTAAACATTTAAAAAATACAGTAATTCGTACACCTGAAACTGATGTAACATTGTGTGCCAACCAAACTTCAATTAAAAAAAAATACAGTGTGGGGCGCCTGGGTGGCGCAGTCGGTTAAGCGTCCGGCTTCAGCCAGGTCACGATCTCGCGGTCCGTGAGTTCGAGCCCCGCGTCAGGCTCTGGGCTGATGGCTCAGAGCCTGGAGCCTGTTTCCGATTCTGTGTCTCCCTCTCTCTCTGCCCCTCCCCCGTTCATGCTCTGTCTCTCTCTGTCCCAAAAATAAATAAAAAACGTTGAAAAAAAATACAGTAATTCTTTTTTTAGGAAAGAAATAGATCCCAATGATTTCCACCCGATTAATTGCAAATAGCTTATAGAGAAAATGCTATATAGACCTACTTATTATTTGAGTGCATCAACTAGACTCAGAGGTATTTTAAAAAAGTGTACAGGCATCCCTTTCAAACTTACTTCTAAGCTTCTGGTATTACAGAAATTGCTTAAGTAATTCCTTTTTTTTTTTTAAAGTCATTCCTTTTGACAATGACTTGATTAACTCTGTATCAGGTGGAATATGGAAACTACCAAAGAATTAATGTGGCTATTGTTCAAATTAACATTAACAAATTCTTCCCTTTACAGAGAATTGTAAGCATAATTATGGCCTTTATCTTTCCAAAAGCTCTTGTTATTTAATTATTAGCACGATTTTTCTGATTCTTTGTTAGGTTCTTTGAAACAGCACAGACCGCGATTGTTTTTATTATTAAAACTACATTTTGATGAATAAACACATCAAGTTCCCTACCCTCCCTGGAAGAGTAACTTTTAGTGCAATACATACTTGAATGTTTAATAATTATCTTTAAAAGCAGTTTTAAGTAAATAAAAGCTCTTTGCCAAGCAAGGTCCATGTTTTGTAACTTCCAGCTGTGAAGCAGCCACCATACGAAGCAGCATATTAAATGTTAATCACTTTAGCTCTACCTAATTAAATATTTAGCCCTGCAAAGATCTAGAGAAAGTGAAAAAGGTTGAACTTGATTTAATGTATACAATTCTTTTGAATCACATTCTGTTCCTGGATGCTTACAATCAGATGTATCTAGTATTTCACCTTTGGAACCTCCAAGGTACAAGACCATTCCAAGATCATTATTGTCATAATCACAATCGTCATTATTGTCATCATGGCCAACATTTATTAGAAGTTTACTCTGTGCTAGGGTACGTGCTTTACATGTAGAATTTTATTTGCGCCTTACAACAGCCCTATGAGGTAGGTGCTATTATTATCTCCATCCAGAGTCTAAAGCTTAGAAAGATTAAGTAACGTGACGAATGTCACATAACTAGTAGGTGCCAAATCCCATATTTTTAAGCCCCTTGCTCCTCACCTTCCCTTTATTGTACCCAAGCCCGCTTAATTCACTTAAATTTAGTATCAGTTGACTTTTCTCATGACCTTTTTGTTGAGACTCATTTTGGTCTGCTCCTTCTCCTCAACGACACATGTTGTCCAACAGATGTTGCACAACAAAAACATATACGTTTGGGGCGCCTGGGTGGCTCAGGGCATTGAGCATCCATCTTTGGCTCAGGTCACGATCTCGCAGTTCAGGAGTTCAAGCCCGGCATCGGGCTCTGTGCTGACACCTCAGAGCCTAGAGTCTGCTTCAGATTCTGTGTCTCCCTCTCTCTCTCTGCCCCTTCCCCTCTCACACTCTGTCTCTCTCTCAAAAATAAATAATAAATAAACATTAAAAAAAAAATAAAATACTTTAAAAATATATAAATATATATAATGTTCAAAGAATAGGGAAACAAGGTATAACTAACTAATTGAGGAGTTAAGCAACAAGGAGATCTAAAAAAATAAAAAGCCAAACACATGATTGTCAGATGAGTGGAGTGGACAGTGAAGAAGGCTTGGCGTTGTTTAACAGTCTGGTGTCCTGGAGGCTGGAAAGGCTTTAAATAAAAGTGAAGAGGTGAGGGCATCCCTAGGATGCCCTCGGAAATAGGTTGGACGCCTCTGGAAAGGCAGAAAGTCTGGCAAGTGCTGGGTGAGTGGGGGCATGTCGGGGTTGTCCTGTAGGGCTCGAAAAAGAACAGGGTAAAGGGGATTGGAAGAGCTGGGTCACTTACATTTACACTGGATGTCTTAGTACCAAGGACAGTCGTAGACCCTGATGAAAGGCAATCTTTGAACACTCCCAAGTTGCATTTGGGTCATTGTTGTATGACCCTGTGTCATCCTATTTATGTTTCATTTTCCTGTCTGAACAAAAGGGAGCAATTCTTGTTCTCTTGGGTTTTCTCCTAGTCACCAACCATAAGAGTTAGGCCACAGAACACAAACAAGAGGAGAATGGAATATTTTATAAGATAGATTTGTAAAAGCTGAACTATCATCGGGGCACATCTTTCTAAAACAAGCGCGGGCGAAAACTTTTAACGAAACACCTAAATTCACCAGTGACTGCCGCTACAGCTAAGATCCTCGAACTTCCATTTCTCCTTTAAGTGACAGGCACTTGAAAAATACTAAACCGGGATGCAGTTAGCTTTCGATGACTTAGGCCACCGACGATTCGATGTATGGATTACACAGAATTTTAATGGACTCATTTCACACGTCGTTATCAACTCTACGTGAAGTTTAAAAGGACAAAGGCTGAAAGTGGATTTGGCCAGTTTTCCGCGTTATTTCCACGGTGGGGCAGCGAGTGGGGGGATTTCCTTTGAGACAAGACTCGGTGCAGCCAATAATTGCTAGTATTGCCAGACTGGTAATAACAGGCTGATGAAAAGGTGAACACAACGCGAAAACTCTGATTAAATCAAGCGCGCCCTCCCACCGTCGTTTTCGGCGAGGAATTTTCCTCTTTCTCCCGCCCTCACCGGAGGGGCTGAGACAGCATCTGGCATCATAATACCAACATTTGTTTCGTGATTCCTCTTTGCCGGGCACGCTAACACACATCACTTCTCAGGAATCAGGATTCACTGGTACTTGTCTGCATTTTTAAAATAAACGCCGGCTCGAGAATCTGGGGGCTGATTTTTTTTCCACCAGCTGGAAC